ATCCAGCTAAAATGTTTGAGAGAGGGGTGGTATCCCTGGTTCCCTGAGCTCTTGTTCCTCGCCCACCACTGCTGTCTGCTAGTGATGTCCACCTGCCCTTCAAGGCCCAGCTCAAAGGCCCCTCCCCCAGGTAGGCTTCGTGGACCTAAACTCCGGCTCAGGCCAGAGAGGGATAAGCAAGAGAACATGTAAATCCAACATTTGTGGCAGAGGGAAGTTTAAGTCCCACTGTGGGGGGTGAGGAAAGCTGCCTGGTTGAAGGGGCCTTTGAGCTGGTTCATGAGGGAGAAAGAGCTCAGCCAGCAAAGGTCAGGGGGAAAAACACTCCAGGAAGAAGGAAAAGCATGAACAAATGCAGGGGTGTGTGTGTGTGTGTGTGTGTGTGTGCGTGTGTGTGTAAGCACCAAGTGCTTTGAAGAAATCTGGGACTTCTCAAATGACCAGGGTGTGAGGGCTAATGGGAAGTAGCGACTGGGGAGTGTGAAAAGGTCATTGGGGCAGGTCACAAAGGGCCTTGAATGATACACCAAGAAGCTTATGCTTCAACCTCCTGTGGGTGATGGAGATTAGCCAGAAGTTTCTGAGCAAGATTGTGAAGTTGGGACTGTCAGATGGTCAGCTGCCTGAGCCTTACCCTCACTGAGGTGGGGGAAAATGGGGTGGTAGGTGGTAGGAGGGGGGATTCCTTAAGTTGGCAGGCTGTCCAGGAGGAGCCAGGGAAAAGTAGGGTGTGCAGTTCTGGCCCTGGAGGCCTGGGGCTGGGGGGAGCTCAGCCCTATTTGTTTCTCCTCGATCTATTTCCTGGCTCCTGTGTGGCACCTCCACCCCCATCACAACCAGGGTCTGGGAGGCAGCTCCTGGCACCTCCCTCAGTCACCATGGGGCTTTTCTACCCACCCCCCCATTTGGCCCAGCCCACACAGGGGCCTCTGTGGTCAGGCCTTTGTGTCTGCACAGTGGCCCTCTTTGTCCTGAGCAGCCCCCACCACCACCTCCCTCCTGCCCTTCTCTCTTTCCCTCTCTCTCTCTCCTGTGTCACAAAAGTACCAGTTTTGCAGAAAGATAGCTAGGGCTCTAATCTTGGCTTCTGCCACTGAATCTCTATATGACCCTGAGCAAGTTGTTTTCTTTCTCTGAGCCTTACTTTTGGGTCCATGAAAAGACGCTGGGTGAGGAATCAAACTCCTGGCAAGAACTGGTCTGCTACCCAGTGCTGAGACCTAAGCAACAGATGCTGTCCATGGGGACCCCTGCCCAACATCCATGCTCTTCTCTGAACCTCCTACTTATATCTCCAACCCTATCCTGTCTACTGCCTGGCCACGTGGCTGTCATTCTTCTGTTTGACAAATGAGGAAACCAAGGCCTGAGGACAGGGCTGACTTCATGCATGTGTGACCTATATGGTTACGCAGGGCCCCACACTTTGAAGGGCCCTGCACTTGATTTACTGCATTGCTGTCCCATCTTGAAATTCTTATTAGTTTTTGAACAAGGGTATCTTCATTTTGCCCTGGGTCCCACAAATTATGTAGCTGGTCCAGCTATTGTGGAGATGGAGGGGAGGTTTGCCCGGGTCTGGACCAGGCTTCCTGCCTCCTGGGCTGCCTCCCCTGGGTGCCTGCATCCTGGCATGCCAAGAGCCAGAGCATCTAGTTTGCATTTGGCATCAGGGACCTGGCCCCTGCCTGGGAAACCTGAGGAGCCTGGGTTCCCAGCCGGCTGGCGAGGGAGGGAGGATGGTCCCGGCTGATGCAGTAGTGCAGAGAGCAAGACCAGGTTGCTGGAGCCAGCCCAGCCCTATGTAATCGGAGCCACCAGTGTGGGTCCCAACGTCATGGCTCAGCCATCGCTCAGGGAATTCAGCAGGGCCTTCCTTCCCAGCAGGTTGGGAGTTCCAGAGTCGGGGGACCCACCACAGACTCACTGTGACTTTGGACATTCACTTCCCCTTTCTGAACTTCAGTTTCCCTATTTATAAAATAGTCATGATAACACCTGCCTCACAGGGTTCTGGGGAAGATTAAAGGAGGTACTTGCACACAATGGTGATCACTAAATCAAGTTCCTACTCCCTCACAAAACAAATATTCATGAGGGCTGACCGGTGACAGGGACCATGCTAGGTGTTGGGCATTTAACCATGAACCGAAAGACCCTGGCTCTGTCTTCAAAGAGACGCCCACTAGAGGGGAAGCTAACCCTGGGGTAAATGGTGTGACAAAGGGAGGTACCTGATGGGGCTCCTGGGCTGGGCCTTAGAGAAGCCATGGGGGTGGGGCAAGAGAAGGAGTCGAGGCAGAGAAGCATGAAGGGACACTGCAGGCAAGGGGGGCAGCAAGTGCCAGGCAGGAGCGAGCGAGGGCCCCACACTGTAGCATGGCTGCTGAGGCAGAGAGAGAGGCAGAGACGTGGGAGGGCCTGGCGTGGCAGGCTGCAGAGGTGGGCTTTCTCTAGAAGGTGGTGGAGCCACAGAAGGTGTGAGGCAGGCGATGGCTGGGAGGGGTGACAGATACCCCACCTTGGCCTGTGAAGGAGGGCTTGGAAGCATCCCCGCTGAGCGAAGGCAGGGGCTTTCACTCCCAGCACCGAGTCTCAGAGCAGAAAGTTTTCTCGGGGGAGATGAGAGAAGTAGAGAGACGGAAGATGAGAAGGCTTAAGAACGCCAAGAGCCTCCTCAGGGTCGGAGAGACAGGAAGCCTCCTAATGCATGGGGAGAAGTGCTCTTGGGCTCATCCTTCCCCATCCTGACCTGCTGCTGCTAATGGAACCCCGCAACCGGCTCCCTCCCACGGCTCCATTAACCCTCCTCTTGGGGACCATTACGTGCCTGGGTCTTCACTACCCGTCTGCCTGGGCTGCTTGGTTCCAGGGAGGCTCCTTGGAGGCCCCTCCGACCTTCCAGAGAGGGCCTTGTGTAGGGCTTGTTGTGGGACTTGTTGAGCCTCAATTTCCTGGCGGGGGTCAATGGGTCTAAAATCTTTCAGCCACAGAAACGTCTATATTTTCTCAAAAAAACTATTGCCAGGAAATGTAAATAAGTATGAAGATAAAAATAAGGGCACTTAGGTTGCAGTGGATGGGGGCTCCTGAGGCCACCCCAAGTAGGGGGGTACTCAGCTGGGGGATTTGGAACCTGCTAGACTCGATCTCTCAAGCCCACTGAAGACAGTGTCAGGGGAACATGTCAAGAGACCCAGATTTCTAGCCCCTCATTAGAAGGGATACTAACCCTTCAAACCCGGGCAGCTCAGGAGGATGGGCAAAACCCTAAAAAAAAGAACTTCAGTCAGGCCAGTGAGAAAGCGAATATTACCATTTTGCAAAAGAAGAAACTGAAGCTCAGAGTCATAGGAGAGGTGAGGCAAGACCCCAAGGCTGTAGGGTTCAAGGACATGTCCCTTTCTTCTGTTTCTCAGGCCTAAGTCACTTGCTGTGGGAGCTCCGCCTCGGGGCGTCTCAGGAATGCAGTTTCTCTGACCATAAAGTAAGGGCGTTGGCCTAGAGCAGGGCAGGACTCTGGCTACCCACTTTCCAGGCGGCTGGAGACTGAGGCAGAGCCCTGGCTCCTCATCTTGGTATCAAAGGAATTTTTTCTCTTGAGCTTAGTAGTAGTTACAGTAGAGGTCTGAAGGCTTGGGAGAGAGAGGAGAAAGGGGTGTTGGCTGGGGCCTCCAGTGACCAGGGGACTTCCCCACATTGGGACCCCGAGGCCTGGGCTCCATAAGTGGGAGCCATAGGATTCCTAGCCCCCTAGAAGCTGCATGGACCAGCTTGGACAATAGGTGGAGGAAGCTGGACAAGAGGCCTTTGTGCCTTCCAGGAGGAGGTCCCCAGGGGACTGCAGAGGTGGCTCAGCCACACGGGGCTGTGTGTCCACTCTGCTCCTGGCAAGACTGCAGCCAGTATCCTTCTTGGGCCCTTTCTGGGCCCCTCCGGGGGCCGGGAGCTAGACCTCAGTCAGCTGACCTGGAGCCCAGAAGGACCCAGGGCCTCAGGGCCCTGGGCAAGCTCCTCCGCCACAGAAAGGAGCTTCCTCTACACTTTCTAGACACCCACTATCCAAAGTCCCAGATGGATGAACGCTGTGATTGCCTCTGTCACAGAAAAGGAGGCTTCAAGAGGGACTGGAACTAGGGGTCAAGGTCTCCCGGAGTCAGTGCTGAAGCTAGACTCCTGACACCTACAGCAGAATGGGGAAGGGGGGGGCATTCATCCGTTCATCCGTTCAGTGTTCAACAAGTATTAAGCAACTCCTGGGAACGCTGGTGCCGGCTGCAGGCCTTCCTCCTCCTGGCGCTGGCTCACAGTCTAGAAAACGCACAGATATAGTCCCTGACCAGAGAAGGCCATCAGAGCGGGGTTGGAAGCGGAGAAGAGAGTGTTGTGTGTAGTCTGAGAAGGCGGCTCAAAGGAAGCCGCTCAGGAGGAGGGATGAAAAAAAGCCAGCTGTTCAGGAAATTTCTAGGGTCTATCAGGCCCAGGAAAGGGAGCACAGGTGAGGCTCTCCCCCTTGCCCCGTCCGCTCTGGAACTGGAGAGACGCAGGACCCAGAATGTATTTCCTCTCTAGGCAATGGGGACACCCTCCCCCGTCTCCGCCTCCGGGTCAGAAGCCAGGGAGGCGAGTTCTCGGCGTGGTGCTCCGCGCAGGTACCTGGCAGGAGAGGGCGCGGGCTCGCTGAAAGGTCTCGCGGTGCGCAGCGACAGGAGCCACACAGGTGGCCGACCAACTCCGCCAATTTAGTGTCTCTGAAAACCTGCCCACATCTCGTGTGAGGCAGGCGGGCGGCCTCCGTCCAGCCAGGCGCTAGGTCAGTCGCCGCGACGCCTTCCCGCTGCACGCGTATCGCCGCGGTGTCCCCGCGCGCCTGGCGCGGGGTCCGTCCTGGTGGGAGGGGCGGTGCCAGGCTGTGCCCAGAGTCCGCCCCGCCCCGGCCTGCCCGGGCCTGGGCAGGGAGCTATAGGCGGGGCGGGCGGGGCTCCAGGCACGTGGGTCCCGGCGGCGGCGGCGGCGGCGGCGGGAGCCGGGCGGCCGAGCGCCCCGCCGACGTGCCGGGCCGGCCGCCTGGAGGGACCCGAGGCGGGGAGAGCCGGCAGGCGCGCCCGGGACGCGGCGGCTGCCCCCTCGGCGCTGGGCCGGCGGAGCCGTGCGCGTGGCCGTGCGAGTGCGCCGGTGGGGCCGTGGTCGGGCTCCGTCGCCAGCGGCGCGTCCAGCTCCGGGAGCGCGATCGGATACCCCGGTGAGTGTGTGTCGGCGTCTTGGGGAAAGTCTGAGTATCAGTGGGGCAGTGCGTGCGCCCCGGCGGGTCGGGTAGCTGAACCTGCGGGACTTGTTTGTGTGCGTGCTCTGGTGTGAGCGCCCCGAGGCGTGGGCCAGCGCGCCGGCGACCCGCGAGCCCCTGGAGGCCGGCTGCGCCCCCTCAACCCAGGGGCACTCTGGGCGCGCATCCCGCCGGGGCCTCGTAAAACTGGGGGCGGGGAGGGGCGGGGGTGGGGGTGGGGGGCTGGGACAGTGGCCTGGAAGGACAGTTAAGCCTCTCTCAGGGGAGTTTTAATCTGGAAGGCGGTGCTGTAGGCAGGGTCAGATTGAAGAAAGGCAGTGCCCTCCCTCCTCTCCCCAACTGTTCGCGGCGGGTTGCCACCCCCCCCCCCCCTTCCCCAGGAGCCAGACCCAAGGGCCAGGCCCAGCTGTGGATTCAAACTTCCAGTTTGGGGTCTGTGGGGCTGGTGGCGCTGTTCCTTTCAGCATGGCATCCTCAGCTTCCCTGGGCCAGCAGCCTGAGGTGCCCGGTTTGTTTGGGGCTCTAGGCGGGAATAATGGGAGCTTTTGAAGGCTAGGGTGGGGCCCTGGTAAAGTCTCAGTTATCTGTGTGTGGGAGTGGTTGGGAAGGAGATTCTTTAAGCAGACAGGGCCCACAAAAGCTCTCTGGAGACTCAAACCTATGTTCCAGTCCTGCCTTGGCCACTGTGTGACCTTCTCTGAGACTCAGTGGCCTCATCTGTGAAAGGGGATCAATAATACTATGGAACTTGAGGGCTGTTGAGTTGCTGAGGTGTGGGTCATGTTCAGTACCAGTGTCCTCCTGGGTAGGCCCAGTGCTTGGGTATCCCAGTGGGATCAGTCCTTGGAGGAAACCTCCTGAAACCCATATCTCAGCTATTCTCTTCCCTGGACTAGCAAGACCCAGCTTGAACCCCTTAACCTGGGACTCAGGGCCTCCAAGAACTGCTCCTTGCCAACATCTCCAGCCCCTTCTCCTGCCTGACCCATCACCCTCTAGTGATCGCGTGTAGCACTGCCTGAAATGCCCTCCTAGCCTCATCTTCCTTAGTTGGAGAATTACCCAGGCTTGGGGCCGAGCTCAGAGTTCCCCTCATTGGGGGAGCCTTCCTTAATTCCACAGTTTGGTTGGAGCCTCTTCTTTTTTTTTTTTTTTTTTTTTAATATTTCATTTATTTATTCATGAGAGTCAGAGAGAGAGAGAGACACAGAGGCAGAGGGAGAAGCAGGCTCCCCGCCTAGCAGGGAGCCCGATGTGGGACTCGATCCCAGGACCCTGGGATCATGACCTGAGCCGAAGGCAGACGCCAACCATCTGAGCCACCCAGGCGCCCGGGTTGGAGCCTCTTCTGACTATTTCAAGTCCCAGTGCTGACAGCCCTGGTTCCACCTTGGACTGTTATGGTCTCTGGGTCCAGATGTCTGGGGCCCCCTGGAGGGCAGAAAGTGGCTCTTGCTCATTTCTCTTTTGCCAGCACCCTGCATGGGGCTGAGCTGAACTGAGAGAGCAGTAGCAACCCCTATCCCCTGCCCCCCTGCACCCCTGCCCCCCTGCCCCCATCCCCCCATCTTTTCCAGGGAAGGCATGTCTACAGTGGAGCTCTGTGTCATCACAAAGTAGAGGAAACTAGAATCCAGTCATTGAGGTAGGTGACATAGGTTGTCAGAACAGTGTGTTCTGGGACACTACAGGACCCAGAGTGTGCAAGCTGAAAACTTTGATTTCATCCTGAAGGCCACAGGGAGCCATGAAATGTTTATGGACAGGGAACATCCATGGTTAAAGCAGGATTTCAGAAAGATCTTTCTGGCTGCCGGGTGGAGAATGGATTGAGTAGTGCTATACAAGGAGGTCAGATAGAGACACCAGAACCATCCAGGCATTATTTATACTCTGAGCCCTTGATCCCTCGGCCAAACACTTCCCTCAGCCCTTAGGTGCTCAGGGTGAGGAATTTGGGGACACTTAGGACTCTCCCTCCCCCAGTGGGAGCCAGGAGACCTGCAATTGATCCCATCCCAGCTCTTCCCCCAACTTGCTGGGTGACCTTGGGGCAGTTCCTGCCCTGCCAGCCTTTAAAAGGAGGCCAGCACTGTTAAGGTGCTGTGTCGAGAGTATGTGCTTGGGGAGGCCACCGCATGAAAGAATTGTCAACCTTCTCTTCTTCCTGCCTTGGAATGTCCTGGGGTCTAGCCAGAGGAGTTGGAGGATCACATTAGGCGACCTTCATAAATGGCTGGCAGGCTTGGGCTACAGAGTGAGGGTATGACGCCTCCATTCCTATCCTCTTCCTGCCCAGGATGCACAGGGCTCTGGGGCTTCTGGAGCCGCTAAGGACCAGCTAAAAGAGTACGAGAAATCACCAAGGCCTCATGGGTGAATGCTTTGATTTGGCTTCTTTCCTGGCTGTAGCCCTTAGAGAGGCCACGTGCCCTTCTAGGTGTCAGTTTTGCCATCTGTAAATTGGACGTGATGATCCTTGTACCTTCAAATGCAAGGTTGCTATGACGATTCTTAAGACAGTAGTCAAGAAAGGGCGTTGTAAGCGGTGGAGTGCAATGCACAGGGAGAAGTGTGATATTCAGAGACTTAAATGCATTTTGAAGATACTAGAACATGGATGCAGTAACAAGGGGTTGTACTAGTTATTGGAATTTTAACTACCGACTGCCTTCCTCCCCCTGTGCCCCCTCTGCAGAGACAGCTTACTAGGAACAATTTATAAAAGTTCCTTATTTTATCCTCTACCAACCCTATGACGGAGGAATTATTACCCCCATTTTGCAGATGAGGAATGAGAGGCTCAGAGTTTCCTTCCCAAGATCACAGAGCCGAGGTGAAAGCTAGGGCTTCTGCTTCCCTGACCCAACTTACCTCTCCCTGTTCGAGACAGAAGTTCCATCTGAGTAGGCCTGTACCTCTGGCTTTCAGGCTGAAGGAAGTTTGAATCTTGCCCAGAAAACGTGACTTTAGGTCTTGCTTGTGGCCTGATGAACCATGCTGCTCACAGGAGCAGGGAAGCCCGGCTGATCCGGTGAGAAAAGGTGGAGGCTCTCCTAGTGAAATCCTCTCTCTGCCTGAACTGTCTCCTGTGGGCCTGGCTGGTGCACTCTTTGACCCACACCTTCCTTTTGGCTACCTTCGGGTCCTCAGTCCTGGCCTCTCCCAGCCGTCGGGTCCTGACGGGGCGAGGCTGGCTGTGGGGCCTTCCCTGACCTCTGTGCTCATCCTAGAGGTCAGTTGCAGGACTAGACCAGCCTGCTTTCTCTCCATCCGTATCACCCAGCACAGGCTGGGCACAGAGCAGGTGCCAGGGAGTGCTTGGGAAATGAATGAGCGTGTGGAAGTGAGTTTGTAGTGGAAGAGGAGGGCCTTGCTCCATGGAGAGCTACAGTTGGTGCTTGAGCAGAGGAGTTCCTCCACTCCCCTGTTACAGCATCTCCTAGGCCTGACTATTTCTGGTCCAGGGTGAGTAGCCAGAGTCCCTGACAGGAGGGTGGGCAGCCTGGGCCCTCCTGGGCAGCTGCTTCCTCCTTGGGCCCCTAACCTGGCACCTGGCACTGGGTTTACAGTGGCAGCATACTGCTTGGGCCCTGGAGCTTGGGAGGAGGGCCTCCTTCAAGCTTCTTGGGGCCCACATGACCCTCTCTTCTCCCCCTGCCTCAGGGGAGGCTCCTGGCGTTGCTCTGGCTTCCTGGTGAGTGCCCAGCGTCCCCAGCCCCAGCTGTGGGAGGAGTCGTCTTACTATGACTGTGCTGTGGGCCAGCAAGGATGCTCCCCATCTCTCAGAGAATCCAGGGCTAAGGGACCAGCGCTTCTCACTAGACCTCCTTGGTCTCCCTCCCTTTAGACCCCTCTGTTCTATCCACTTTGCATGTGGCACCATCACTGTCAAGGTCACTCTGACTGTGTCCTTCCCTGCTTAAGCCCTGCCATGGCTCCCCATTGTCCTCAGGATGGAGGCCCAGCTCCTCAACCTGGCATCCAAGCCTTTTCATGTGAGTCCCGCAGGCCCACACACATTCTGGGCCACCTACCCCTCCATACCAGTCTCACATGACCCGAGGGCCACACTAGGAAACCACTAAGTCTTTGCACACGCTCTTCCTTCTGCCTTCAGTGCCCTCCTCCCTTTCTTGTCCACCTGCCAAACTCCTAATCTTCCATCAGGTCCCAGATCAAATGACCCCTCCTCTGGGCAGCCCCCACAGGCTGGTTAGGAGTTCCCCTGGGCTCCGTGGCTCCTGGGCTTCCCTTGGTCGTGGCTTAATAACCCAAGTGGACCTAGTCCATGTCTGCTTCTTTCTCCCCATCCAGAGTGGAGCTCCTGACCAAGTCTGATCTGAGTCTGGGTTTGCGGGGTCTCTCTGTGGTTGGGCACATGGGGACACTGGCAAGTGTTTGCTGAGACTTTGTGGCTCCAGGGACAGTGATCTATGATTACATTGCTCTGAGAGTCCAGACTCCTGTGGTTTTGAGAATCTCAAAACCAAAGGCTGTCAGAAGCAGTGAGTAACAGAGCTGAAGAAACACTTAGAGCCAAAGACTCTTGGAATTGGACTGTCAGAACCAATGAACTCAGAATTCTGGAAGCACCCAGAGTGAGACAGTCTCAGAATCACAGACTTACTTGTATCCTGTTCTATACTTCTGTACTTATTTTCTACCTTGGCTTTTCCAATTCTCCCCTTTTCCTTCCAAGCTGGACCCTTCCTACTTCTCTCCAGACCTGACCACAGCCCCTTCCCAGAGCCTTCCTTGCCTACTCTGACCATGACTTCTGCCCCCCTCCTGGTTACCCAGGAGGGCCCCCTGGTGAAAAGGGTTCCTGTGTCTCTTTGCTAGGACAGGTAGACGCAGCCCCCACATCAGGACAGGAGCATGATTTGCTAGCTGCATGGAGCACCACCTGCCCCCTTGTCTTACTCATTCCTTAGGAGCTGTCTGATAGAGTGGTGGTGATTCTCCCCATTTGATCAGTGAAGAACTCGAGGCTCAGAGAAGGGAACTGACTTGACCAAGATTGCACAGCATGTGTGGTTCTAAGCTGGAGCCTGAACCCAGGGTTCTTTTTCTTGAGCCTGGCTAGAGGTATTTGGATGTGAGAGGTCAGGGTGGAGTCCAGGGCACTGTGGTTCTGAACTGGTTCAGGTTAGCAGTGTGTCTCTAGAGCACTGGGCTGGGCTGGGCCATGCTGGGTCGAGGAAGGACAGGTAGTTTGGAGTCCTGCTTAGGGCTGGGGGTGAGGGTGCCCAGCCCCACACTAAATATAATTAGAACACCAGGCCTTGAGTAAGGCCCTTTCTCTTAAGGGGTCTCAGCCTGCTGACTCGTAACATGGGAGGCCAGCCTGATTGATCTGAGACCTATACTCACATGTTCTCCCAGTGCATGGCCCCCACAGCCAGGATTCTAGGGGCTTCCAAGGAGAGAGACCTCCAAAAGGGGCTGCCAAACCCAAGGGTCTCCTGGGGGAGGCTGCAAAGTCTTCACACTGCAACGGCACCTGCTGATAACATCTGAGGTTACCCCTCAGCTATTTCCCCAGACCAGCCCCAGTGCTTGTGGTGCAGAAAGCACACCAAGCAAAGTGGGGAGACTATTGGCCTTCAGCCCTGTGGGGTATATTTGTTGGGGGTGGTGGAGAATAACTTCCGAGATCCTTCGTGTCCTCCTAGCCAGCCTTGCCTTCTCTGCTTCCCTCAAGCCACAGGGATGACTGTCAGTTCCCAAGACATACTATGTGATCTCTTGCTCACTCTGCTTCTCTTCTCTTTCCACTCACCTGACTCCTCTCCATCTTCCAAAATGCAGGTCAGGTGTCCTCTTCTCCAGGAAGCCTTCCCTGACCACCCCGCCCCCAATTCCCATTAGGAACCCTCTTGGCTTTTTCAACCCTGGTGCCTCTGCTTCCTTCAGCCCTGATCACCCTGAGTTGTCATTGCCTGTTTCTGGGCCTTCCCCCATCCTCCCTTACACTTTCCACCTTGACAGTGAGCTCCTGGAGATCACAGAAGGGTCCAACCCACCTTGGAGTCCCCAAGTGCCCTGCATGGGGACAGGCATAGAAATGGCAACCTTTGTAAAGGGTGAGTGAATTAAGGAGTATAGTGGGGTCTAGTTCCTGCAGGGGGTCCCTGGACTGTCCTCCCTTCTGAGGATGGCCTTCAGGGTGGGAAACTTGATCTATAGCCAGGCTGGCTGTAACCTTGCTACTCTGCCCATGATTTTTGTGGGTTTCCTGCCTGTCTTGTCTTCCTGGGATGTTCCCATCCTTCCTGCCTTCCCCACCTGCTGAAATCATATCTTTTTAAATTATTTCATAAAGTGAGTCTAAATCATCTCCTTTAACTGTCTCAACAACCTTATGCAGTGGGTGCTCTTCTTAGATTGTAAGGAAATTGGGACTCCAGTCGTGGAGCTGAGACTTGTCCAGGTACCACAGCTGGGAATGGCAGAACTGGGATTTCCCACCTGTCCTCTCCTGCCCCTCAGTGGTGTTCTGGGTCCAGGTCCTCTGTTTCCCCTCATAGCACCTCACCCCCATTAGAGGCAGGTTGCAGGGGTTTCCAGAGTGGTGATGTCACACTGCCCTGCCAGGCTGGACAGGGCCAGCCAGGTGGGCGGGGGAGTGGGCAGTGCATTCATTCTGGAGCTGCCCTAGTGGAGAAGCTGGAATGTTGTCCAACCACCCTGGAAAGTCTGCAGTCAGCCTGGAAACTGCCTCAGCCCCTCCTCATGGCTTTGAGTTAACTAGCCTGGGGCTACAAGGAGAAAGATAGGGGTGGAGCCAGGTAGAGGGGGCAGGTGGTCTGCCCCTCACTCACTGGTGACCTTGGATGAGATCTTGGGCGACCCTTTCCAGGCTTAGTTTGTTGTTGTTGTTGTTGTTTTGATTTGTGATGGGTACAATAACCATCAGGGCTGCTTCACTCTGAGGAAATACCAGGAAGAGTAGATTCTAGTACCTAGAGTCCTAGAACACTAGGGTGTTCCCTCTGGCAGAGAACTGACCAGACAGGCAGAGCCATGGGGCTCAAAGAGGGCTGGTCGGGGAGCTTCCTGGAGCAGAGGATTTGGGCTATGGAAGGTAAGATGTAGTGATCAGGGGCACAGCTCCTGAAGTCAGATCAAGACTGCAGTTTGCTAGCTTTGTGATCCTGGAGAGATTAGTTAGCCTCTCTGAGCTTCTCAGGATTAAATGAGAAGAGGTCTACCTAATACGGACCTGGTACAGAGAAAGCACTCCACTCTTGTTATGATATATATGTTAGAAGATAAGGGAGGGCATCCCTGAGCAAAGATAAGGATTGCTATCCCATGGGATTGCTTTTGCTGTGCTTGAGATGAGATGAGTCTGAAGGCAGAGAGAGAGAGTTGTCTAGCGGGGTGGCAGGGGTCGGGTCAGCCAGGGCCTTGAATGCCAGGCTCAGGAGCTTGGACATTAGCCTGACGGCAATAGGGAGCCGTGGAAGAGCTTTGAGCTCAATAGCAGATGGTCAGAGTTGTGTTTTAGGAAGACCCATGACTGCGGTATGAAAGATGGACTGTAGGGACGGGGTGGGGGCGAGGAGACAAGTGAGTAGGCTGGTGCAGTGGTCTGGAGAAGAAACACAAGCCTGAGGCCATGGGCTGGGGCTCAGTGGCCTGTCTGAGCCATTGCATTGGTTGAACTGATAGGGCTTGGTGAGTGACCAGTGGGTTACACGCGGTTGGGAGAGAGGGGCAGTGTCAGGATATATTAGAGTTTTATAGTATGAAGGATGGATAGTAGAGATCCCCCTCAGAAATGGGAGGAATGGCCTTGAGAAAGTGCTCTGCTCCACCTTTGTCTGTTAAGTGAAGGCACCTCCTAAGGAGAAGAAGATGGGGTGGAGTGGGGTGAAAGGTGAAGCTCTTTCCTTGGTCACTGGACTCTTCAGCAGGTTGGCAAATGGCTACTGGCTGGCTGCCCCCACGTCAGCCCGAGGCTCCTGGGGCAAGGTGCGCTAGGAAAGCAGTGGCCTGGGGGCATTTCCCCACACCACACCTCCTATCCCCTTCCCGCAGCCAGCTGTCTCCTCCTCTCTTCTCCCTGCCCCCCATGCTTGCACTTTGCTTCCAGCCCAGGGACCTGGCTTTAGCTGTCTCAGACGCACTCCCCTGTTGTAGGGAAATGAAGCAGATGGAAAAAGGAGGGGGATGTCCTTTTTCTCCTCTGATGAGTCTGAGGTTCTGGTGGGTGCTGGGACTTGCACATCCAGAGGGGTCCCTCCACCAGGTACCCACTCCCTCAATGACAGCTTGTGCCTGGTGTGTGTGAGGGCCTCAGAGACAAGACAAGAGCCGGGGCCAGAATCCAGGAGGCCTGCGTTCAGTCTTGGCTCTGTCCGTGGCCTCTGGTGAGATCTTGTGACAGGGCCTCAGTTTCCTCCTCTGTCAAATGGGAGTTTGGTGCAGGTGATTTCTAAAGGCTGTTCTAGGCCCTGTCTAGGATGGTGTGTGTGTGTGCTCATGCTGTGTATACATCTGAATGTGACTGTGTATGTCTCTGGGTATCTGGGTACGCCCATGCCTGTGTGTGTTCGTGTGTGTTTATAATACCTACGGGGGGAATGATTAGAGGTGGGACAGGGAGGAGGAGGATTCCAGATAGAGGCATAGCTTGAGCAAAAGTGTGTTGGCGTAAGTACTGTCCAGTGGATACCAGGCAAGGAGGGTGTCGACTGCTACTGTAGGGACTGAAGCACAGACCAGGATGGAAGGCGGGGCATTGGAGACGCAGCTCAGCTCTGCAGGATGTGGGAAAGACCTTCCCCAGCCGAGCCACACTCCTGTGAAAGGGGCTGCCCGGGGAGGGAGACTGGGAACAACCAGCCCTGGCCCACGTGAGCCGAGGGTGGACAGCTAGGGAGTGTGGGTGGGCAGAGTGCACTCCTACTGGGACAAGTGCACACCAGAAGCAGGCCTGGGAGGGCCCTGCCTGGCTGACTTCTGCCACCAGGAGCCCAAGAGTGCATGCTGTCTCCACTTCCCACAGAGCCCACAGCACGGCCTGCCCTGAGAAATGCTAGAAGCTGGGTGCAGTCCCAGGCCAGGGCACCTGTTTTTCCTGTTTCCTGAAGAATTCCCTGCATCCTGGTCCAGGCCTGTGCATTCCTGAGCGAGGGACCCGAGCAGGCGCTGAGTATCCTGCCTGAGAGCAGGGGCTGACCAGGTACGGCTGGGAGGCTCGCGCAGCCTCACCTGTGCACGCGTATATCCTGACCGGGGTTCAGTCGGGGGGATCCCCACCCTGCTTCTTCATCCCAGGCTGTGATGAATTCAGGTTTCAGAGCCAGAGAGCCCTGGTATCAAGCCCACGTTCTCCAGTTCCTAGCAGTGTGACCTTGAACGAATAGCTTAACCTCTATGGCAGCATCTACTGAGGAGTGGGTGTGGGGGGGTGAAATGAAGATGCTGTGTGGAAGCTGTTCAGCCCAGGCTTGGCCCCTACAAAGTGAGGGGTTGGGGGTAGGGGGCACCAGGACCAGGAACTCCTGATCCAGACCGACCCAGGGTTGACCTGAGCCAAGGATGAGCGAGATAAAAGAATGTGCTTGGCTCAGACAGCTGACCTACCTCCAGAATGCCTAGGTCCAGTTCCTCTCCCCCTGGCATTTCCCTGGACTGGCCAGAGAAGGGCAGGGCTCTTGAAAGAGAGGCAGTCCAGCTGCCTGTCTAGGGCAGGAGCCAGGAGCAGGCCTCAGGTGAGCTGGTCCCCAGGAGTGTTCCCAGGAGGCCACCTAGGGTCAGCAGCTGAGAAATCTGTGTCAGGACAACTCTGGGAGGCCCTGAGAGGAATAAGGGAAAAGAGGGCCACTGTCATAAAGCTCAGCCTCCTCTGGACTCCTATATCCTCTTGTGCTTGCTTCATTCATTCATTTTCTCATTCATATCATACCTGCTCTGGATCAGGCCTCTTGCTGGATGATTGGGACAGAGAAAAGAATCAGATGGACCCAGCCCTCTAGGAGCACCTGGAATGTGTTGGGTTAGAGGGTGGAAGGACAGATTCCCAACAGGGTGTGAGGAATGTTGGGGGTCGTGGAGGGGGAGAGTTTCAGAGATGGGGTGACATTTGAGAAGAGCCTGGAGGGGTGAGCAAGGTGAGGTACAGTGTGAGTGGGTTCTGGAAGGGCTTTCCAGGCAGAAATAACAGCATGAGCAAAGGCAGGGAAGCCTGACAGGTCACTTACAAGGCAGGGCCAGCCAGAACTGGGCACAGAGAGGCTGGCAAGTGGTGTTGGACAAAGTTAGGTGGAAGCTGGTCTCTAGGGAGCTGGGGGTGAGACCCTGAGGGCATTGGGGGTGAGGAGAGGCAGAGCAGAGGGCCGAGGGAGAGGGCTGGGGATTTGGCTGTCTTCATAAGCAGGGGCTGGGGGGCAGGAAAGATGCACTCACAGGTTGGTGGACCAGCCAGTGGAGGGAGAGGGCAGGCAGGGTCATTCTGGACAGGGGCCACGGCAATGGAGTCCCCAGCTGGCCTGAGAGGGTGGAGGCCAGGATATCTTAAAACAGGTGGAAAGGACAGCTTCCTCGGTTCATGAGAGACTTGGGGAAGTCTCCACCCTGCTCACTAGAATCAGAGATTCCACCCTCAGTGATTAGCAAGAAAATCTTTGTGTGGAGACACTGACTATGGCTTGGGGTGGGCAGGGGCAGGGGCGGGGCGGGGGGAGAGGGCCCTGACCCAGAGGAGAGACCTGCCAGGCCTAGGCACTGTCATGTCTGACAACGAGTGCCCCTCCCCCCACACCTGCTCCTCCTCCAGGCATCCTGCCAGCCTCCCTCGCCTGCCCCTCCCCTACCCAAACGCCCTCTGGGCCAGTCTCTCTGGCCTCTGTCCCTAACCCTTCCAGATCTCTCCCCTCTCAGGGTCCCCAGGCCTGGCCCCGGCTTGGGCCTTAGTGTCCCTCCCCTGGCCCGCCACTCTGCCCTGCCGCACAGCCTCCCCCGTTGGTGACCTGAGAGAGCCTCCGGAAGATTTCAGAAGGCCACACCTGGGCTGAGCCGTGTAGCTCATACTGCCACAGTGTCCCTGCTGTGCTAGGCACTGCTCCAAACATTTTACACAAATCAAGTGACTCAGTCCTCACAGCAGTTGTACGATGTGGGTTAACTGCCGCATTTTACAGATGAGGAAACAAAGGTGGTCTGGCTCCAGAGGCCAGGTTCTTAACCACTGGAGTTTGCTGTGCTGAAGGATAAAAAGTTGTCATTGCAACAAGTGGAGGTGAGGTGTGTGAATGGAATCCAGGTTGAAGGAGCGCCATGAACTATTGCTGGGAACGTGTGTTCGGTGCATCCAGGAAACCACAGGTCACAGAGGATGGGGCTGGTGCGGCTGACAGAGGCTGGGTTATGAAAGCCTCCAGCACCAGACCGAGGAGGAGCAGGGTTTTCGCCTGAGAATAGGCAGGAGTCACAGAGGGTTTCAAGCAAAGGAATGACTTAGTCTTTACAAAGACCCCTCTGGATTGGGGGGAACTGAGGCTAGAGGCAGGGAGGGTGGAGGCAGCACTGAGCTGCATGGAGCAGGGGTCGGGTACAGGAAATGCTTTAATGCTGGGTCCTGAGGCCTGGCTCTGGGCAAGAGGGGTCCCAGCTGGCCAACCCTGGCCAGAGTTCCCCCTGGCAGGGGGAACTGCCCCCCTCTCAACTTGGCACCACAGAATCTCCCTGCCTCCTCACCTTGGATCAGGGACGAGGTAAAAGTTCATCAAGATAGTGGTGGTGTGTGAAGAGAAACTAGGTAGGCCTGGGAGAAGCTGAATTTGCCCCACAAAAGAAGTCCCCCTCTGCTCCCATCCCCATCTCTGTCCCAGACTTCCCTGGAATCTTCAGGAGGGTCACTGTCCCATCTGGTAGCCTCATAGGCCAGGGAACAGACTGCCACTTACAAATGCAGAAAGTGCCAGAATATAGGAGTACCTAAAAACTATTTGCCGAGAGGTGAATGAATGACTAACGGGGGAGACCCTTAGAAATACCCCCTCAAATGCCAAAATACCAGGCATGGGGCCAGAGCCTCTCTAGAGAGTGGAAAGATGAGCTAAAGGAAAGAACTTTTTTTTTTGTCTTTTAAGAGAGGGAGAGAGGGGGTTGGGGGATGGAGGGAGAGGGAGATAGAGAATCCCAAGTAGGCTCCATGCCCAGCACAGAACCCGACGAGGGGCCTCGATCTTACGAACCTGAGATCATGACCGGAAATCAAGAGTCAGACGTTTAACTGACTGAGTCACCCAGGCGCCCCTAAAGGAGAGAACTTTCTAATGCCTCCCGGAAGGTAGGGGCTGCCCAGTGGCCAGAAATGCCTCAGCAGGCAGTGGGCACTGGGTGTGAGGTGGATCCAGCCATCCTTAAAGGCCCCTCTCTGTGAATCTGAGATGACACCGCTCTGGGACCCCCAGCTCCTCAGATTCTAGAGCTCAGGATCCTCGATCTAGAATTCTGTGCTCCTGAGGTTCTAGAGCAGGGTCGCCAAACTTTTTTTTTTTTTTTTTTTTTTTAAGGCCAGATGGTAACTATTTTAGGCTTTGGGGAACATATGGTCTCTGTCAGAACGGTTCAACTCTTCATAAATAGATGGGTATGATTGTGTTCCAATCAAGCTTTTTTTTTTTTTTTTTAACAGAAACAGACGGGTGGGCTGCATCTGGCCCTCAGGATGTAGTATGCCTACCCCTGTTCTGAAGTTTTAGAGGTATGTGGCCCTGATATTCATGGATCTCAGACCTTCTCGAAGCTCTAGGGTTTCAGGGTTCTGGGCCTTCTGGGTCCAGGGAGAGAGCCAGGTCAGATGGCTACAAAGGCCTTGAACGTGGTTGAGCAGATCTGAACCAAGGGGATCTGTGGGTGCGTGGGGCCCCTCATGGCCCCAGTCGGGTGGGTGTGTCAGGCCAACCCCCCCCCCCCCCCCCGCGCCCCGAGCCCTTCATGACCCTGACGGCTCTCCCCCCCCCCCTTCAGGGCGATGGCCACAGGCCTGGGCCGCTGGAACGGCACGGTCAATGACTCCTGGGAAGGGGACGAGCTGGGCTACAAGTGCCGTTTCAATGAGGACTTCAAGTACGTGCTGCTGCCCGTGTCCTACGGCGTGGTGTGTGCGCTGGGGCTGTGTCTGAACGCCGCGGCGCTCTACGTCTTCCTGTGCCGCCTCAAGACCTGGAACGCGTCCACCACGTACATGTTCCACCTGGCCGTGTGCGACGCGCTGTACGCCGCGTCCCTGCCGCTGCTGGTCTACTACTACGCCCACGGCGACCACTGGCCCTTCAGCGTGGTGCTGTGCAAGCTGGTGCGCTTCCTCTTCTACACCAACCTCTACTGCAGCATCCTCTTCCTCACGTGCATCAGCGTGCACCGGTGCCTGGGTGTCCTGCGCCCGCTGCGCTCGCTGCGCTGGGGCCGCGCGCACTACGCCCGCCGCGTGGCGGCCGCCGTGTGGGTGCTCGTGCTGGCCTGCCAGTCCCCCGTGCTCTACTTCGTCACCACCAGCGTGCGGGGCGGCCGCATCACCTGCCACGACACCTCCGCGCCCGAGCTCTTCGGCCAGTTCGTGGCCTACAGCTCCGTCATGCTGGGCCTGCTCTTTGCCGTGCCCTTCGCCGTCATCCTGGTGTGCTACGTGCTGATGGCCCGGCGGCTGCTGAGGCCGGCCTGTGGCACGTCGGGGGGCCTGCCGCGGGCCAAGCGCAAGTCGGTGCGCACCATTGCCGTGGTGCTGGCCGTCTTCGCGCTCTGCTTCCTGCCTTTCCACGTCACCCGCACCCTCTACTACTCCTTCCGCTCGCTGGACCTCAGCTGCCACACCCTCAACGCCGTCAACGTGGCTTACAAGATCACGCGGCCGCTGGCCAGTGCCAACAGTTGCCTCGACCCCGTGCTCTACTTCCTGGCGGGGCAGAGGCTCGTGCGCTTTGCCCGAGATGCCAAGCCACCCTCAGATCCCTCTCCTATTGCCCCGGTTCGCCGCAGAGGGGGCCTGCGCAGGTCCGACAGGACTGACATCAAGAGGACAAAAGATGTATTGACCAGCAGTGAGGACTCTAGGTGGACAGAGTCCACACCAGCTGATGGTGAGAACACTAAGGACATCCGGCTGTAGGACCTGAATCCCTCAGGCCTGTGCAAGTTTATATGGGGGGGGGGGGTGCTGTAGGGATTAGGACTTCTTCAGATGGGATGGTCTCCCTAGATAGGGCCCATTAGTGACACATGCCTGATGGTCAAGGGAGCCATGACCTCAATGCTCTGTCATTTGGCAGGGGCTCAGAATGTTCTCTGCGGTCCAGAGATCTCAACAGTTCCTATGACGCCAGTCACAATTTGTATGTGTGAGCTGGGGAATAAGGCTTCAAGAAAGGCAAGGGTAAGGGGCCAATGCTGCCCCTGGCCTGACTCCCACATAAGCAGCTGGCTGTGCCTGCCAGGGTATCCAGCCTGATCAAGTCAAATGGAGAAACAGGCCCAGAGGGGAAAGTGACTTACCAAGGTCACAGTCTGGGCCTGAGGCCCCTAGGAGGGGCAGGGTTACAGGCTGACCGAAGGACCCTGGTAAGGGGTCAGGGCCGAGCCAGAGCTTCCTACAGAGGGGTCTAGGGCAGGTCTGGATGCCCCAGTGGACACACCTCTGAGGAGGAGCCCCAGCCTGAGAGATGAACGTAATGTCAGGGAACCAATGTCATAAACCCATCTGGAGGCTCCCCTGGGCTGGGAGCCAGTTGGAGGCTGTAACTTCTACTAAAGTTGTTGCCTGCTGCGCTGTGCCCTATTGTGTGGTTTGAGGATGAAGATACAGCCTAAGAAGCTCTCACCATCCACACTGGGGTCCTTTCTCCAACTTGTACTCTTCTGCCGCCTGCCTTCCCACTAGCTGCCACAGAAGACAGGAGAGAGATGGGGTCCTGTCCCGGGATCCCCTAGTTGAGGGCTTAATGGCTATGACCAGTCATGCTGGTAAATGTTAAACCATCTAACTGGCTCTCCAGGGGGTGAGGGGAACCCCTTATTTGTAGCCTTGCCGACTGCCATGGTGCAAATAGCCTGCCTTGGCCAATTTCAGACTACTAATGTGATGTCAGCCTCCTCGCAAAATTCCTGAAAATTTAACAATTGGCTTTTGCAAGCAGGTCCCAGATGCTCCAGCACACCATGAAAAATGCTGAGTGGTTGGGGCTGTGGACCAGGGGGTCAGGGAGGCTTCCTGGAGCGGGGGACACTCCTGAGCTGTAGCTTCTGAGGAAAGCAGTTCATCAGAGAAGAACATCCAGGGGCAGGGTGCATCCTGGGCAAAGACATGGGGACAGGAAATCAGGCTAAGCAGGAACTGGAGGCAGGCCGGGCAGCCGGCACCCAGGCTCACAGCAGGAATGAGGCTGGGGGGTGGGTCACAAGGATACCAAGACAGGGCTCCCTCCTTGCCTTTACCTGAGGTTTCCTTTGTGCAGGGGCTAAGTATGGGAGAGATTCGCTTCTCTTCCTGTCCCATCCTCTGCCTCTTGGGAAGATCCAGCTATATGGCATAATAGTTGGTGCTCAGCCTGGGTCAGGGCTTTGGGTGAGGGAGATCTTTCTCACCTGTGACAGATTCTGGGTCCAGCCAGGACCACTGCGGAGATTTGTAGAGCTCAGCTGAACAGGGCCCAGCTCAGCCTTAGGGCAGGAGTAGGGCAAAGCTGACAGGCCTCACTCTTAATCTCAAACATAAAGACTCACTCCCTCTCCCTCTGGGAGACCCCTTGCCCTATCGGCCCACTCTGCCTGAGAGAAGGTTCTTTTCCCACCCAAATTCCGCCCGCCTCTTATGACTTCTTCACCCTTCCCATTCTACTTTGTCAGAATGGGGCATCCCCCAAGGGTTCTCTATTTAGAGTCTAGCTCCACAGCTCCCTCATGCAACAGGGACCCATCACAAGCCATGATCCAGGAAAATTACTCTGCATTGCAATGTGGGTGACCTGCTTAAAGTAGTGTGAAATGCTCACCTCCCATATTCTAGGTCCTATACTTCTGTTAATGTAACCAGAGTCCCTGTGAGCTTTTTTGTGACTATCTTTTGCAGACTGTCCTTGAGCCTTTCCTGCAGGCCCAAGCCTATCTCTTTCCTACCAGCTACTGCTCAGGCTGGACCCCATCCTAGTTTATAGGAACCCCATACCCAGGTAAGATTACACCCAAGAGTGTAAATGCTGGGCTCTGATTCCCTCAGCCCTGCTTAGACCCAGAGGCAGGAGGTTATACATCGTGATTCTGGGGACTCCTGAGTGTGCATCTATGGTTGGGGGTAGGGCTGTGGCCACCAAATGTCCAAGTACCCTTAGTCCCCATTCCTTTCTTTTCTTTTCTTTTTTTTTTAAGATTTTATTTATTTATTTTGAGAGAGAGAATGAGAGAGAACACATGAGAGGGGATAGGGTCAGAGGGCAAAGCAGACTCCCTGCCGAGCAAGGAGCCCGATGCGGGACTCGATCCAGGGACTCCAGGATCATGACCTGAGCCAAAGGCAGTCGCTTAACCAACTGAGCCACCCAGGCGCCCAGTCCCCATTCCTTTCATGTCCTGCCTACCTACTCCTCAAGCAGTTGTCCTAGAGACCCTGAGAACCCAGGGCCCTACAGCACATGGAGCCAACACTATGGCCTAGCCCCAGGAAGCCTTCCTTGAACCAGCCGCCTGCACATGTCTAAGGACAAAGGACCTAGGGAAAAGGAGAGCCTTACTCACCATCTAATCCAGTGGCAGACACTGGTGGAGGTGGAAAAGAGAGACTCTAAGGGAACCAGGGACAGGCCCAGGGTTCCACCCCTGGGCCCCAGTCAGACTGCCTGACCCCTCAATGTGGATGTCTGGCCTTACTGCCCAGGGCCCAAACCATCCACCTAGCGGGTGAGGTTCCTGACCCTCCTGCCTTGTGCTATTTTCAGCCCGAGTAAGAGCAGGATTTTCCACTCCCAGCCCCAGACCATTGTCCAGTAGTGACGTGGGGGGACCTGCCTGCTCTCAAAATATCTCCTCTTACTCACTGGGTCTCCGTGCTCCCTCCCAACCACCCCACCTCCTCACCCTGACATCACGTCCTGGGGCTGTTGACTCTTGAAGGCCACTGTGAAAGGGCATAGTCACCTGACAGGGACCCCGGGGATTATCCAGCCCAGCTGTAGACTTGAGAGGGGTGGGGCCTTGCCCAAGGTCACTCAGCAGGTCAGCGTGGCACCTGGATGTGTGCCAGGGGCTCAGGCTGTCCCTGCTGCTCTGCTCCCTTTAGTTCAGGTCGATGCCTTTGTGGGATTCCTGTCATCACCCTCACTGCCCCAGCTCTCCCCACCCCGGTGGATGGAGCTGGTGGCCGGAGCCGTGGCACTGAGGCCAGGGGCATAGGAGAGGAGAGGGGGGACAGTGCGGGGGGAGGAGGTAGTCTTGGTGAGCTCTGTGCATCCAGGATGGGGCCCTGGCACACAGGGGGTCTCTGCCCTGTGGGGCAGGTGTTCCAGGGCCCAGGAGGGAGGTTAGGCCCCCAAAGCTACCCCTCTGCCACTACCCTTGTCATGACAGATCGAGCTATTCTGTTCAGAGTCAAGCTCATGAGGAAGGGTACTCGTGTATTAACGCAGGCCCCAGGCACCTCTCGTCTCTATTATTCTTCCCCACAACTGTGTGAAAGAGACATTATTATCCCCATTTAGCAGAGGAGGGGACAGGCTCTGAGAAGTGAGGACTTGCTCCAGGCTGTACAGGCAATCAGGGAGTGAGTCAGGATCGAATCTGAGTCCATCAGATGCCCAGATTAGTTCCTTTCCAGCATCCCATGCCACTTGCAACCTCTGCTGGGCAGGAGGGTCTGTAAGCAACCCTCCGTGGGATTCAAGATGAAAGGGGCAGTGTGGTGGGGATGGGGTTGAGAGCACAGATTCGATGCCTGTACTACCTCTGTCTGAAAGTTATCTCTGCTCCTGCAGCTGTACCACCTTGGGCAAGTTACTGAACCTTGCAGGGCCTTGGTTTTCTCATTTCCGAGAGGACGTACCACCTCCCACGCAGGGCATTGGATCAATATGCACGAAACACTTGGTAAGCATTTACATGGCAGGCACGGTGCCAAGGTGATACAGAGGCAAACCAGCTGGACCCTGCCCTCATGGAGTGGACATAATGTAATATATAACCACACTAGGATACATTATTGAAGGAAAGGAATGTCCAGCCAGTGAGCAACAGTGGGCCTCCTGTGACCCCAGGATGGAGGAGGAGGAGGAAAGCGGGTCTACCCTTGGCACTGGGTGGCCTTCAGGCCCATGGGCCTGTGTGTGTTTACAGCACCTCGTGCCTGTGCCAGGCCGTGAGAGGGCAGCAGGGAGAAGCAAGAGGGGGAAGGGGAGGAGGAGGGAGGGAGGCCCTTGATATCAAGCTTCTGGAGCCAGCCCCTGTGGACCAGAGAGCTCCCACTCGCCCATGGCAACAGCCATTTCTCCCTAACTGATGGTCCCCATCGTGGGGTGCTACAACTACTTCTTGGTTCAACCAAGAGCCCGGAGACCCAGGCTGCCAGGACCCAGAGCAGGCATTGAATGGGTAACTTTTTCTGTGTGACCGGAGGCTGCCCGCCTGCCCTCTCTGGGCCACCCTCTGGAGCTTGGAGCCCTTGCCTCCCATGACCCGGTTGTCCCTGCCTCGGTTAGGACATCAGCCACCTCGATCTTCAGCAAAGGCACAACAAACAGGCATTCCCCCCCAGGCATCCCCCCAACCCCCTGGGCTCTCAGTTCTGAGGACTGGAGTGGGCAGTGATTCTCCCCTGGCATCAAGCGACAGAGAGGTAAAGCGACACCATTGGCACCCCACAGGGGCTCGGAGCGGAGCTGGTCTGCTGTCCGATGGCCCTGCCCCTTGCAGGTGGAGGGTGGAGTCTGGCCAGGAGTGCCTGAACTGCAGGGTGAGAGATGTGTTTGCCTTTCCAAGCGGCATGTGCTGGTGGGGGGTGGAGAGTGGAGGGCAGATGAACCCCAGAAGCCAAGCTCTCCTCCTCCTCTCCCCTGTGCACCATGTGCCTTGGTGAATCCCTTCGCCTCTCTGGGCCTCAGTTTTCCCGTCTGCCATGGGGCTTGGCTCTGCCCAGCCGCTCTTCCTCCAATACAGGCTTCCTGAACTTCAGCCTCTGTCTTGGCTCTCGTTCAGCCAGGTGTCCAGTCTCAGTCCTGTTCCAGCCAGGAACAATGGGCCGGGCTGGGCCAGTCACTCATGGCCCCAGACTCAGTCCCCAAGGGCTCACCCTGGACTATTTTCAGCTCTTGGAGATGGAGTCAGAAAAGGATTTTCCACTCCCGGCACAATGGCTGCCCCGGACCATTGTCCAGCAGTGACCGGGAGACCCACCCGCCCCAAAATATCTTCCCTGCCCCTACCCTCTGGGCCTCCCCAACTTGACATGGCTTCCCGGGCTGTTAACTCCCGAAGGCTGTTGTGAAGCAGCACGTGAGTACCCTGGAAGACAGGGCCGGTTGGAATCAGTTTTCCCTCCTGGCAGGGACCCCAGGGATGGTTTGGCTGCTTAGAGGGACGAGAGGCCCAGAGAGAGCTGTGCCTTGCCCAAGGCCACATAGCAGTCAGCATGGAGACTGGATGCGAGGCCCGTGAAGCCTCCACTGCCCTCATCAGCACCGCATGCGCCTTCTGAGAACTCCCCTGGGAGGACCTCAGTGGGGCGTGCTGGAAAGGGGCCTAAGGGACGAGGGTGGAAGGGGGTGTATCTTGGGAACCTGGGGCACTCTCTTCAGTCCTGTTTTTCGCGAATGTGGCTTTAGCTTGCACTGAATTCAGGGTTACCGAGTTGTGGCTCTGGGGAAAGAAGGAGGTTGGGGGACCCAGGGAAGTTGAGGCAGGAGGAGCAGGGTTCTGGCCTAGCTCAGCCATCACCAGCTCCATGACCACAAATTCAATATCTTTATAAAATGGAACTGCTAATACTTCTTTTTCCAGTTTACTGAACAGTGAGAATGCAGGAAGGCCCAAACACAGCTATTTTATTTTCCTACCAGTACTGCCGAGTATACTCCATGTCTGATTTCCCTTTCCCATCCATGAACTGTTTAAATGGCAAACTCCCAATATTTGAGTCACTTGTGGGTAACAAAGTTCATTCCAGCTTAAGGTTCCAAGCCCTACTTAATTTAATGCCCACCCCTCTTCTTCCCCCGTGCTGGGAGGACCCACCTCACCCCTCCTTTGTGTCCCTCTCTCCTCCGGATGTCAGGCAAGGTGGTGAGGAGGAAAGGGACCAGTATACCTTCCCCAGGACTGCCACAGTCCTTTCTTGCTGTCCTTGCTTCTCTGGCTAGGACAACATGGCCAACAGTGCGCCTCCGAGTGGAGCCCTCCAAACACCAGCCCACACCTTTGTAAAGAGTCTCTTCATTCACCCAGTCTGAGTGTGCCCCATCTTTCTTGCTGAGACTCTAACTCCTATGCCCCAGACTCTTGAGTGACTTTCCGAGAGCACCCCTCACCTGGCTTGGTTCAGAACTCACAAACAGCAGGGATGTTTTCCAGGTCACTGAGCCCAGTGTTCAGCTTGTAGACAGCATGGAGGGTGGTAGAGGGCTGGGGTAATAAACTCTGAGAAGGTGTCTGAGCCCAGTTGTTTTGGGGTTTCTTTCAAATGTAGGGTATTTTATCCCCTGTGTATCCTTAGATTTATATCCTGGAGCCAAATTCCAAATCAGCAGCCACATGAAAAGTCCCACCTCATTGTGGGATTAAACTGTTAGACCAGCCTTTGTGACCAAAGCAACTGCAAAATGTGGGGGAGGAAATCAAAGCCTACTGCATGGGTCACCACACAGCCTGTGCTAATGTGTGTGTGTGTTTATGTGTGTGTTGAGTTGTGACATCTGTGTTCCAGGGGGAGTGCCGAGGCGGAAGGGCAGCCCCCACAGGTACCAAGTAGATACCTAAGAGACAGAAGAGCTTTGGGTGGACAGCCACCCTGGAGGAAGCAGAGGGAAGAGGGGCTGCCAGGAGGTCAAACTAATGGAAGGGGATGGCAGGGAGAGACGGGGAGTGGGGAGAGGACCCGGTGTGTGCGTGCTTCATGGCCCAAGTCAATTAAGTTCTCTATTCTTAATTTACTACTAAATCCCCAGCAGCCAGCTCCTTTCTACTCCCTTCATTCCCCATTCTTCTTCCTTTTCCCCAGCTCCTGTCCCTCCACTCTCCCCATTTTCCTTCTCTTTTTGCTCCCCGTTCCCAGAATTCCTGGCAACAAAGGGAAGCAAACCCAGCAGTTCAGAGCATCAGACCCATTCCTTCATTCTTGAGCGCGGGCTCCCCTCCCTTCTTGGGCTGTGCTTCCGAGGCTGTAGGTGCCCAGTTCGCGGACGCTTCCCTGCTGCCCCCTGGTGGCCAGAGTGGCTGCAGACGCAGGAGTGGTGGGGGAGGCCTGGGCTGAGGTCCAGACCTTCGCCTGTGGAGTGATAAGAGGAAAAGGATCCTGCTGGCCGCCAGGTTGTTGGAGAGTGCGAGGTGGGAGCAGGACTGAGAATTGAAACAGGGAACACAGTTTGCAAAACATACCCTGACTTGCAAAACAGGTAATAGTGCTTGATCAAGCCACGCTGTCCATCTCAGACTAAGCGCACACTTATGAACACCTATGTCCTTAGACTCACAGTTCCAAGACAAGACTACAGACAAAGAGCTCTAATAGTAACACTCCTGGAGGACTCCTGTGTTCTCAGCATAGGATTGCTGACCCCTCCAGCAAATCCCTGCTCTGCAAATTCTGACCAATCTCTGCCAGAGACCATCCTTTGAGTAACTCTAGCCCCCCACGATCCTATAAGCACCCTTCCCTAACTCCCTGCTTTGGAGACACCCCAGGGATCCCCCAGTGTGAAGTCTTTGTTGCATCAAATAATAAGCCCAGGCTTGCTGGCTACAGCTGTGTTCCTGGTGGCGCTGACCCACACTGATAAGAGATTCCTGGGTGAAAGAATGAGAGCAGGTGACATCTCAGCTCTCTATTCCAGCCTACCCACCCCCATGGGCTCTCAGGGACTGCCCCATGTAGAGCCCTACAGCCCCCAGCTGACCCATCATGTGTGTTCTGGCGCCAGGACAAAATGCCACACTGTGGGTGTTTTCCCCTCTCGGAGGAAGCACACCATGTCCAGATGTTGGCTTTGGCAAGACTGAGGGGCAGACCCAGCTGCTCCATCTTTGGGGCATTGCCCCTGGCAGCCTCCCAGGTTGAGGTTTCAAAGTTGCTGACTTGACCCTCTCTGGTTCTTCCAGGGGTGAGGGGTGTCCCTGAGGACGGTGCCATAATGTCCTCTGGCCTTGTGTGTCCCTTTGACCTCCTGCTTACCTTCAAGGCCCCAGACGGGGTTCCCCACCTTCACTGGCTGTCAGGAAGACACCCAAGCTCTGGGTTTGAGGACATAGCTGAGTGTTTGGGAGAGGGGCTAGAGGCCCTCCTGAGGGGCTTTCTCAGGCACCTGCCTCATTCCAATGCCTCCACCCCCACTAGAGCCCCGGACCTCTGGATGCCCCTAGAAGTCCTTTCCTCCTCACATGGTAGCCTCTAAGACTGGACTCCACCTCCTGGGAGGTGTGACCAAGCTCAGCTGGTCCTCCTAACACCCCCTGTGACTGCATCTGCGCGGAAGTCAGGGTTCACCCACTGCCCAAGTGATGTCTGTAATTTGGATCCCACCAGCACATTAGTACGTAAAATGCATCTGACTCTCAGTCATGTGGAAGGGGAGGCCCAAGTGCAGGGCCCTTGGGGATGAAGTGGGAAGCACAAAGGTGAGCCAGCCCTCCAAGCCCCACCCTCACAGCTTTGTTCTACACCTGCAGCCCTCACCTACAGACTTTTCCTCCACCTGAATCCAGGTGCCTTCATTCATGATGCTTAGAAATCACAGAGACTTTGGGCTTTTCCATTTGAATCTTGACTCTGCCACTCATTAATCAGATGATTAATGGGCACTTCAGTTTCCTCATCATAAAATTCATATTTTGTTGGTACTACCTGTCTCTTTCTACTAGGGTGAAAGCTCCCAGAAGACAGGGGTCTTTGTCTATTTTGGTCACTAATTTATCCCCAGTGCCCAGAACGGTGACTGGCACATGGTAGGTATACAACAATTACTTGTTGGATGAATGAATGAATGAATGGTTATTCGTAATGAGGAATAAATGAGATAAACTCTATAAACTGTTTTGTAGACTATCTGGTACCAGTGGATACTCATTAGATGTTCATTCCTTTCCTTTGCAAAACAGGTCAAATTGATTATTTCATGTAAGCTTCACAATGGCTCTTTGAGGTAAAAATATTATCGATTCATTCATCCATTTATTCAACAAATATTTACCAAGAGCCTACTATATTCCAGGTACTGTTGTAGATAGTTGGAAATCATCAGTGAATAAAAAAACAAAGACCCAGGCGCCTGGGTGGCTCAGTCGTTAAGCGTCTGCCTTCGGCTCAGGTCATGATCCCACAGTCCTGGGATCGAGTCCCACATCGGGCTCCCTGCTTGGCAGGAAGCCTGCTTCTCCCTCTCCCACTCCCCCTGCTTGTGTTCCTGCTCTCGCTATCTCTCTCTCTGTCAAATAAATAAATAAAATCTTAAAAAAAAAAAAACAAAGACCCTTCCCTTGTGGAGTTGACATTCGAGGTGGGATGAGAGAGACAAAAAAACCCCAAAAAACACCAGTCTTAATTAAATGTAAATTCCATGGTATGCTAGAAGATGAACAGCAGAGCAGAAAGAGGGTTTGGGAGGGTGGGCAAGTAGAGGGTAACGGGTGGGGGGGGGGTGTGATTTTAAAGAGAATGGCCAGGTGAAGCCTCAGGAGGGGCCCAAAACAGGGCATTTGAGCAGACTTGAAGGAGGAGTGGGAGTTAACCGAGGGGCTCCCTGAGGGGAGAGTAAACACCTGTTCCCCCTGCCTGTGTAAGGAGGCAGTGACTGGAGTGCAGGCAGGAGGAGTGGAGGCCAGAGATGGGGAGAATCTCGTAGGACGTGGAATGAGGCGGAAAATCAAGGCAGAGATACAATTAGGCTTGCATTTTAGAAGGATCTGGCTAGGGGCGCCTGGGTGGCTCAATCAGTTAAGCAGCTGACTCTTAATTTCAGCTCAGGTCATGATCTCAGGGTCGTGGGATGGAGCCCCATGTTGGGTTCCCTGCTCAGCGTGGAGTCTGTTTGAGATTCTCTCTCTCTCTCTGTCCCCCTGCCCCTCCCCCTGCTCCCATTTGCTCTCTCTTTCTCTCTCTCTCTAAAATAAATTAAAAAAAAAAAAAAAGGATCTGGCTGCTGTGTTGTGAATAAACCAGAGCGGAGCAGCGAGAGCAGGAAGGAGCTAACGCAGGAAGCCAGGAGAGAGATCATGGCGGTTGGGACCCGGTGGTAGCGATGGAGGTGGTGAGAAACGGACCGAAGCCAGATGTATTTTGAAGGAAGAGCCAATAAGATTCCTGATAGATTTTTCCCGCAAGGTTTGGTAGGCAGTGACTGCAGTCCAGAGGAGGTCTAGTGGGGTGGCACATACCCACAGGTCCCTGAGTGGGGTGGAGAATGGCGCTAGGGATAGCAGGAAGGTCCCCAGGTCTGGGGCAGTGTCTGGGGGAGGAGAGGGCAGGATGGGAGCAAGGATTCTGTTGCAGCAGGTCACAGACCAGCCCCAGGGCAGCTGGGCGTTGATTTGATCAACGGCTTTTTCCTCTTCCTCTGTATCCCCTTTTGATGGCCTTTTAATTGGGTCCATTTGTTCCAAAACTGTGAGCTGAGCAGACACCAGAGTACTTGCCTATTATTAAATAGATTAGAAAATGGCCCTATGTTTTGGGCTACCGGAAAAGTCAGAGCCGCTGTGTGGCTTGTCTGAGGAGTAATCACAGGCTTCCGCTCATGGCAGAGCCCATGCCAGGCATCTTGTCTTCATCCTCGCCCCTGCCTGGCTCATCTGCTAAGTGTCTCCTCCTCCTCCAAGACTCACTTCAAAATCCCCTCAGGAAGCCTTGCTGATCACCATCCTTGCCCTCGGCCTCACCTTCCTGGGCAACTCTCACAGGTAGGGTGAAGGGTCCCTCAATGGAGGGCCTGCCTCCAACAGAAGACATGGTCCAAATGGGGGTTTTTAGGGAAGAAGGACACCCAAAGAGCATTTAAATCACAACCCCACTTAAGTAAAAAACACCTTTCCATTTCCCACAGTTCCTCCCCACAGAGAAGCTGGACTCCAAGAAAGGGGTGGGGGTGGTGCTGGCAGGGAAGGGAGGAGAGAATTGTCAAATTCATGTCATGTCTGGAGAAAGGCGAGCCCTCTTGCACTGTTGGTGCAAGCCACTCTGGAATACAGTATGGAGGTTCCTCAAAAAGTTAAAAATAGAACTACCCTACAATCTAGCAATCACACTGCTGGATATTTATCCAAAGAATACAACACTAATTCAACATCCCAGTGTTTATAGCAGCATTATCAACAATAGCCAAATTATGGAAAGAGCCCAAATGTCCATCAGCTGATGAGTGGATAAAGATAATTAGTATACACACACAATGGAATATTACTCAACCATAAAAAGAAATGAAATCTTGCTGTTTGCAACAACGTGGATGGAGCTAGAGAGTGTAATACTAAGTGAAATAAGTCAGTCAGAGAAAGACAAATAGCATATGATTTCACTCATATGTGGAATTTAAGAAACAAAACAAATGAGCGAAGGGGGTAAAAAAGTAAGAGAGACAAACCAAGAAACAGACTCTTAACTATAGAGAACAAATTGATGGTTGCCGGAGTGGGGGTGGGGGGTGGAGATGGGTGAAACAGGTGATGGGGATTAAGGAAGGCGCTTGTCGTGATGAGCACCCGGTGATGTGCGGAAGTGTTGAACCACTATATTCTACGCCTGAAACTAATAGTACGCTGTTGGTTAACAAATTTGAATAAAAACTTAAAAAAATAAAGCACACAATTCACCATTTAAAAAATTCATATCATGGGAATGAGATGGAAACGTACACTTGCCTGGAGAAAAAGAAAACCATTTCCTGCCAGTAACACATTCAGACTGTAAAAAAACTAAAACAAACAAAAACACTGGTTACTTCCATGTTTAGACATTGTCTACTGATACGCTCTGTGAAAGATGAGGATTTAGTTTTCTTCCCTCATCCTCCCATTGCAATTTCTGGGTAAAACAATATTCAGTGCTTACATTTTTATGACCTTGAAAGTATTGTTTGCAGTAACATAGCATTCTATGATTACATTTTCTTTCTTGCATAACTTTTTTGTTTTTCCTAGAATTAATAATTGTGTATCACTGTATACCCTTAAGAGGGACATATGCTAAGGACAAAATTACAAGGAAATCTTAAACAGTATTTGTAATCATATCATGAGTGGCTATTGAGCACTTGAAATATGACTCATCTGAATTGAGTTGTGTTGCAGGTATAAAACCACACTGGGTTTCAAAGACTTGGGTACAAAAAAAGGTGGTAAAATATTAATTTTTTATATTGGTTGCATATTAAAATGGTAATATTTTGGATATAATGAGTTAAATAAAATATATTGCTGAAAATAATTTCATTCATTTCTGATTACTTCTAATGTGGTTCCTTGAATATTTTAAATTATACCTGTAGCTTGCATTGTATTTCTATCGAAATCTAGGCAGTGACTGTCAATAGCTGCCGGTGGATAGAACAGTCTCCTAAGACCTGGATGCACTGACCAATATAACATCACAAAAAAGAGAGAGAACTAGATGTGATGTCTCGTTGATGTGGTGCAAAAGGAGGTACATACCACCAACTATGAATTTTTGCCAAAAGACTCAACCTCAGTCAGATTAGATCCCTGGACTTAACTACTACTTTTCAGGAGATGCAGGGTACATAGGAACGTGTTAAATGACAACGTGGACAATTGGCTAGGTTCAGAATCTGAGAACCTTTACAGGATTAATGACCCAGTTTCTTCACAAATACATGGGGGAAAAAATGGCAAAGGAGTAGACATAGAAATGGAAGTCAAAGCCAAGGTCCGATCTCCCCTCACTGCTACAAAAGTAGAAGGCCCCAACTTCCTAAATGTTCAGAAGCCATTTATCCTGGAGGGTAACAGGGAGAAGAAATCTGAAACAGAGAAAATGCTGGACAACATTTGGGTTTTCTCCACTGTTATAAGCTGCACTGTGTTTCCCCCTCAAACTCAGGTGGTAAAGTCCTAACACCCAGTACCTCAGAATGTGACGTTATTTCGGGAAAGGGTCTTTAAAGAGGTAACTGAGTTAAAGTGAGGTCACTGGGGTTGGCCCTAATCCAGTGTGATTGTAAGAACAGAAAATTTGAACATAGACACATCTGGAGTAAGGTGATATGAAGATGCAGAGAAAACAGCCATCTACAGGCCGAGGAAAGCCAAGATCCATCTCTCACAGCCCCCAGAAGGAACCAACCTTGCCGTCACCGTGATTTTGGACTTCTAGCCTCCAAAACTGTGAGAAAATAAATTTCTGTTGTTTAACCCCCTGGTCTTTGTTATGGCAGCCCTAGCAGACTAACCCATCCTGGTCTTTGTTATGGCAGCCCTAGCAGACTAACCCATCCAACTGTCAGTGAGGCAGGCACTCATGAGAATCATCCTCTCTGTTATCAGGGGAAAGGGAGCTGTGTTTTCTTTGCCCATATATCCCCAGATGGGAACGCCTGGTGGAAACTACTTCCCAGAGCCTGAGTTTCTCCTTTCTGGGTTGACAAGTTGTCACCATGGTGGGGGCCCTGGCCCTAAGCACACTAATCAGCCTAAATTCTCCTCTTTACTGCCCCCCCATGCTGTATTTCCTCTTCAACCAGTGCTTTACGGACTTCTGTTTTCACCCCCCAAATGTTTATAATCTTTGTATCAAAGGACATCATCTCTTGTAGCAGTTGCATGACTCAGCTGGTTTTCTTCCTCTTTAGTGTCATCTCTAAATACCATGCGTTGACATTAATGGCCTATAATTGCTTTGTGGCTGTCTATAATCCATCATTGTCATAAGGCCACCACGTCTTATCAGGTGTATTTGGTGTTGCAATTTGGTGTGTGTGTGTGTGAGAGAGAGGGAGAGAGAGAGTATGGGATTTGCTGGAACCACTGCCCATAGAGAGCACATGCTTAGGCCAACCTTCTGCAACTGCAATGGCACCAACCATTATCTATGTGATAACTTCTTGGTCCTCCAAACATCTTGCACCAGCACCTCTGGCAATGAGGAGGTCGTTTTCATTGTGGTGAGCACTAATATCCAGGACCCAGTCTTCATTTCTTTCATTTTCCTTCAATCTGCCCAAGGCAAATCAAAACCCTTTAGCACCTGCTGCTCTCACATCAATGCCATTTCTCTTTCCCTTTTTTCCTATTTATTTATTTATTTGACAGAGATAGACACAGCGAGAGAGGGAACACAAGCAGGGGGGTGGGAGAGGGGGAAGCGGGCTTCCTGCTGAGCAGGGAGCCTGATGTGGGGCTTGATCCCAGGACCCCGGGATCATGACCTGAGCCGAAGGCAGATGCCTAATGACTAAGCCCCCCAGGCGCCCCTAATTTCTCTTTTCTTTGGGTGAGCAGCATTTATGTGTCTTAAACATTCTTCTCTGGGGTCTACGAATCAGGGTCTATGAGCTGGTGTATTTTCTATTCCAATGTGGGTCCATGCTGAGCCCCCTCTGTAGAGCCTAAGGGAAAAGGAAAATCCTGGTTTAAGTCCAGGAAAGCAGTGATAATGTAAGGAGATCTAAATTTTTATTTCATTGGCATTTTCTCATAATGGGCTTTTGTTCCTGACTATGTTCATTCTACATATGGAGGGATGTTTAGTCTTTTCTTAAAATAGACTCTTTCCATCACTTCCCTCATAGGTAATCTTGGCTCGTTCTTTGCATTCTCATCCCCTGCACACCATGTAGACAGGTTTGACTAGGTGTAGCTGCTTATACACTAAACACTTTTTCCTTCTCTTTGGCGCCCCTTTGTCTCCTGCTCGCTTCCCAATTCTGCACATATACTACGAGTCCATAGTGACCTGGAGAAAAGTTGCCTACCTAAACCCAGAAGTGCCAAATATTTTGGAAGGGCTCTCTTTCTTGTCAGTTCTGTCACTGGAAGAGGCAGCAGGATTCCAAAGAAATGCCTCTCTTTCAACCTGTGTAAACAGCTCAAAGTGGACGCAAACCATCTTGATCTTGGTTTATTATTCGTAGTCACCCTTGCTTTGCTATTCTGGCCTTTCTTGTCTGCTTCTAAGAGTGGCAACATCTCGGAGCTTCTGCAAGTGGTGGCAGGTAGAGGCATTTCCGCTTAAAACCACGCTCCCTGGTGAGTAAGGACATTTGTGGCCCCCTCCACAAAAGAGAAGGAAGTCAGGGCTTTTTCCTTTGAGATGTGAATCACATCCCCCTATTCTCAAACTTTGGAGACAAAAAATAAACTGTAAAGGACAATTATGTTGTTGCTTATCTAATAATTTTCGTTTTTAAAGATTTCTTTGTATGAGAGAGTGCACACGCACAGAGGAAAGGGGCAGAGGTGGGGCGCCTGGGTGGCTCATTCGGTTAAGTGTCTGCCTTCAGCTCAGGTCATGATCCCAGGGTCCTGGGATTGAGGGCTCCCTGATCAGTGGGGAGTCTGCTTCTCCCTCTGCCCCTCCCCCTGCTCATGCTCTCTCTCTCTCTCAAATAAATAAATAAATAAGTAAAATCTTTAAAAAAATAATTGTAAAAACAATTCTTCTGCTTCTTAATTTTACAGTGAGGTTCAGCATGGAAAAATCAGCTGAATGCTGACAATAATAAACTGTCACCCTAGAAAATGTGTGTAGGTCTACCTAAACTTTGTCTCACTAATAAAACCATAGTCATCATTAGGACAAAGGTTGTTTCCTATACTTCCTTCATTTCTTCAAAGCTTCTCCCCTTCTTAGTTTATATGGCAAGAAATATCAAGTTGAATATCAACTTGAAATATCAAAAAATATCAGTTGAATTGGAATGTCTTGTTCTATTGCTTAAATAAAGCACTGCAATAGTTAAAGAAAGGTTTTGATTATTTACTCTGGGCTAGGCACGGTGCTAAGAGTTTTACCTACATTACCTCAAACCATACAGGAGCACAGAATTATTATCCCCCTTTTTATGAGGGACTGGCTCTCTGAGAGGTGAAGGCTTTGTTCTGCCTTTTCTGCCTGTTATCAGGACCTTGGGCTCCAGTTCCAGTTCCTTTCCTTACAGATTGGATGACCTTGGACAAGACCATGGGTCTTTCTCCCTTTCCTCCTCTGAAAAATGGGAGTAATCATGTGTTCTATGTAAGGCCTAAGAAGATTAATGTGTACATTTATGCAAACAACTTAGAAAATGGTAAATCCCTTAAGGGGCGCCTGGCTGGCTCAGTCGCTGGAGCATGCAACTCATGACCTCAGGGTTGTGAGTTCAGGCCCCACGTTGGGTGCAGAGATTACGTTAAAAAAAAGAAAATGGTAAATCCCTATATAAATTTTTGTTTACATTCATTTTCAATTTTTCTCAGTAATGAGATCAAGCCCCAACATTTGGTGCTACTTTATTAAATGTGACATCTTGATTTAAGAAAGTGATATGTATTGGGGCACCTGGGTGGCTCAGTCAGTTGAGTGTCCGACTCTTGGTTTAGGCTCAGTTGTGATCTCAGGGTCCTGAGCTCTGTGCTCAGCTCAACAGGGAGTCTGCTTGGGATTCTCTCCCTCCCTCTGCCTCTGCCCCTCCCTGTGCTTGCACTCCCTCTCAAAATAAGTAAATAAATCTGTTTTAAAAAGTGATATGTTTGGGCGCCTGGGTGGCTCAGTTGGTTAAGCGACTGCCTTCGGCTCAGGTCATGATCCTGGAGTCCCGGGATCGAGTCCCCGCATCGGGCTCCCTGCTCGGCGGGGAGTCTGCTCCTCCCTCTGGCCCTCTTCCCTCTCATGCTCTCTGTCTCTCATTCTCTCTCTCTCTCAAATAAATAAATAAAATCTTTAAAAAAAAAAAAGTGATATGTTTCGGGGCGCCTGGGTGGCTCAGTCGTTAAGTGTCTGCCTTCGGCACAGGTCATGATCCCAGGACCCTGGGAGCCCGCATCGGGCTCCTTGCTCCGCGGGAAGCCTACTTCTCCTTCTCCCACTCCCCCTGCTTCTCCTTCTCCCACTCCCCCTGCTTGTGGTCCCTCTCTCACTGTGTCTCTCTGTCAAATAAATAAAATCTTAAAAAATAAATAAATAAAAATAAATAAAAAGTGATATGTTTCTTCTTTATTTAATTTTTAACTAAATAACACATTCACTAGGTACAAACAAAAAAATATATTGAAAGGTAAACAGTGAAAAGTCTCTATTGATTCTATTAAGTAACCACTGGTCATGGTTTTTTTTATCTTTCCAGATAATTATATGCATTTACAAGTCCTAAAAACTGTGCTTTCTTTCTTCTCCTAACACAAAAGACTACATACTTATACACATATTTCTAGCTTACTTCTGCAGATTTCTTGGTCTTTTTCCACACTAATAACGTAAGTAGCTTACTTCAT